TCGTGCTTTTATATTTTAATACAGAATCTTTGTTTTCCCATTGTAAAAGCTGCCCTTTTAATGTCTGTAAACATATTAGTTAGTTTGGAATCATTTTTCTGTTTTGTTTTTTGAACAATTTAGTGATTTTTAAGACATTACTTTTTAAAAAATAAATGTTAACGCCAGCCTTGGAGTAATATCATTACAGCAGGTTCTACATAGACAAGCTGAAGATATCCAAATGACATCTGTTAAGTGGCTGGCAGTCTTACCCTCCTTTTGCCCTCTATGTTAATCTTTAATCCTATCTAAATCCTATCCTAACTGGCAGAAGCTGTTCAGAATAAAGCTAAGTTTACAGTAATTGTGAACTTAGATAAAAATATGAAAAAGAGAATGAGAGAGAGATTACACGGGTATTTTATTTAATGTAAATCCATAATCAAGCCTCTAAATAAATGTCTTTTTCATGAAATCAGAATATAAGGTTTGTTTAAACCATAGGAAAGTAAGTAAATATTGTAGCTTGATTGTAGAAAATTCCAAGTTCCTAACAGTTCTGTTAAATTGAGGATCATAGTTACATTCCCTGTACTTGTGTTTTGCCTTGTTGCATATATATGGAAATAAATATGTATGGAAATATTCATGTATTAATACATAAAAAAATCATGTACATATTATTACCTGCCTATTTTGCAGAATTAGCTTTTCATAAGTCAACAGAGAAGAATATATGTAACTTGTAGAGAAATAGTGTAGAAATAGTGGGAACTGGGGACCCATAGGCAGTCTCTGTTTCTTAAATTACTTATATTTCTTTTGACTAATAATCTGTTTAGGACCTTGCTATGCTACACTTATAAAAGTAGTTGTTTCTGCCGAAACCGGTTTGGCTCAGCGGTAGAGCGTCGGTCTGTGGACTGAATGGTCCCAGGTTCGATTCCGGTCAAGGGCATGTACATTGGTTGCGGGCACATCCCCGATCGGGGGTGTGCAGGAGGCAGCTGGTCGATGTTTCTCTCTCATCGACGTTTCTGGCTCTCTATCTCTCTCCCTTTCTCTCTGTAAAAAATCAATAATATATATATATATTTTTAAAAAGTAGTTGTTTCTGTGAGTAGGTATATGAGAATAATGATTTTATTTTTAAAAAAAACTTTGTATCTATGCCTCTTCACATTAGGCCATTGTAAGAGGACAGCTGAAATGATTAGCATCTCACTCTGGAAAGCTATTTATTTTGTAATTATATGAATCAAAATAGGCCTTTCCAAAATTTTTGTTTGGGAGCATAATATGTAAATTTGTTTTACTAAAAGGTCGGTAGGGTCATACCTATGATTTTCACCATTCTACCCCATCCTTTCCCCATGAAAGAAGCTGGGAAATGACCATATCCAATTTATTCTTCCCTGAATGTAAGTGTGGCTCAATGGTTGAGCATCAACCTATGAATTAAGAGATCACAGTTCAATTCTCCAGGGCACATGCCTGGGTTGTGGGCTTGATCCCTAGGGTGGGGCATGCAGGAGGCAACCAGTTAATCAATGGTTCTCTCTCATCATTGCTGTTTGTATCTCTCTCTTTCTCTGAAATCAACAAAAAAATATTTTAAAAACCCACAGTTTCAGGCTAATGCAAGTATTAAACTGACTCCATCTTTGATTATCTGATTGATCACAGATAGGTTATTTAATTCTGTGTTTTTATTTTATAACTAGAAATTTGTGCACGGGTGGTGTGTCACTCAGCCCAGCCTGCATCCTCTCCAATCTGGGACCCTGAGAGGATGTCCAATTGCCGGGATCGGGCCTAAACGAGCAGTTGGACATCCCTCTCACAATCCAGGACTGCTGGCTCCCAACTGCTCGCCTGCCTACCTTCCTGATTGCCCCTAACCACTTCTCCCTGCCAGTCTGATCACTCCTAACCATTTCCCTGCCAGCCTGATTGATGCCTAACTGCTCCCCTACCAGCCTGTTTGCCCCTAACTGCCCTCCCTTGCAGGCCTGGTCCCTCCCAACTGCCTTCCCCTGTTGGCTATCTTGTGGTGGTCATCTTGTGTCCACATGGGGTCAGCCATCTTGTGTGTTGGAGTGATGTTCAATTTGCATATTACTCTTTTATTAGATAGGATAGAGGCCTGGTGCATGGGTGGGGGCTAGCTGGTTTTCCCGGGGGGGGGGGTGTCCTGGAACAGGATGGGAGTACCTTTGGGGTGTGGTGCAGCCTGGACAAGGGGCCTGTGGTGGTTTGCAAGCTGGCCACCGCCCCCCCCCCCCCCCCCCCCCCCCCCCCGTGACCCAATTTGAGGCCTTGGAATCTGGGATTTATTTATCTTCTATAATTGAAACTTTGTAGCCTTGAGTAGAGGCCAGGACAAGTAGGAAGCTTGGCTTCCTCCATTCCCAGGGGCAACTCAAGCCTCCTGCTCTCTCCATCTCTGTGGCCACCGCCATATTTGTTGGATTAATTTGCATACTTGCTCCTAGATGGTGGGCGTGGCTTGTGGTATAGCAGAGTGGTGGTTAATTTGCAATTACTCTTTTATTAGATAGGATTTTACTAGTATTATGGCCATCACGTCCTTTTGGACAAATATATTTTTTGTATTATTATTTGTGCAATAAACCTAGAGAGCACCACCATTTCCTTAAAAGAGAATATGTCACCTTAAATAGGATAGCTAGAAAAGAATGTCAAGTAATTTAACATGTTGATAGTAAATTGCAAAATACTGATTTAATAAAATTCTAAATGATTAAAGGAGATGCATTTCAGTCCATAGTTTAATCAAAGCAAACAACCTAAGAGAGCTTTCAAAATTATGTTTCCTTATACAGATAAAGTAGAAATTAATAAAAGCAAATACATGTTTTGGTCAGGTACTCTGCAAAGGGATATTGCCTTTTTTTTATATTAGTCCCTTAATATTTAGAATCTGTGTCTGTATAATGTAAAGGCCACTTGCAAAAAAACTACATAAATGGAATCATTTGCTGGCCTTTGATAAAACAATTTGCTTTGACCTAAGCTGAGAAAAAATGAAGGAACCCCTAATTAGAACTGGAAGCTACTATCATGATCTCTTTTTCCAGATGTTGGCCACAGAATTAACATAGCCTAAGTGGTTTCCCTTGTGGCTTTGAAGGGGTGGAAATTGTGTATGAAGTAAAATAAATGATAAATTAATATACACTCCCTCTTATTGAAAAACCCCAAAAGGTTCTTCCAAAGTTTCCTGTGAACAAATACATTCCTGACTATAGGAAACAACTAGTTTTACTGTACTTCTCTATACTTGTTCTTTCTCCAAAAAAGAAAGAAAACTTAGTTACTTTGAGAATGACATCACTCCTTATTGATCCTAAAGTTATGGATGTAATAGACAAACAAATTTGATGATTTTATTTGATTCTGTAGGAATTAAACAATGCTATAATAAAAGGAGAATACTTTTTTAATGAAGTACCAAATTATAAAGGGCATTTTATTTATTTATTTGTTTATTTATTTTTTTCTAAAAGGCATTTTGAAACACACTATTATAATGGTGCCAAAATTCTGCAATAAGCATAAAGACTTGTAAGTAATAGAGATATTAAAAAGCACAATAAGAATGAAAAATAGTGTGAATTAAGAAATAGTTTCTTGAAATATGGAACTATGAGAAAACAATGGAGGAAACAAATGTTGTAATGAAGTAAACACTAAGGCTAGTGCTTTGTTTTTCTGTAATTATAGTAATAAAATCAGAATCTATTGGAATCTGTACCCTTCAAATATATGCAGGTCCACAACCCCTTATTTGTAGTTTTAAAATCCATAAAATTTGTCTGCACTTGATCTTAGCCAAAAGGCCGAGAAGCGATAAAAATCCATAAAGTTCTGAAAGATGAAATTTTAAAAATAAATTTTGTGCAAACTCATTTGCAAAAAAATATGACCTGAATGATGTGAAGCCATTCATAGTCTTTATTTATTTATTTACTTAGTATAACTTTCATACATTTTCCTGTAGGTATGGTTAAGAGGCTAATGGGAGGCAGTATATAACATCCTATGTAATAAAAGGCTAATATGTAAATCAACTGAACAGTGGAACAACCCGTCGCTACGACATGAAGTGACCATTAGGGAACAGACACTCAATGCAGGGCTGCCCCCTGGGTGGTCAGGAGTGCTGCTCAGCCAGAAGCAAAGCTCCTGGCTGGTGAGCACAGCAGCCGTGGCAGGAGCCTCTCCTACCTCTGCATCAGTCAGACTTCTCCAGAGGACTGCGAGAGGGACACACCCTCAAGTGTGCAGATTTCATGCACCAGGCCTCTAGTATGGTATATGCAGCGTATTACTTTCCTAAAACGTGAAAACTCCTGGATTCCAAACAAATCTGGCCTAGGAGTTTCACCTAAGGGATTGTGGGTCAGATTAAATACAATGCAGACATTAATTCAAATAATTGATATAGTATAGATGTTTAATTTTCCAAGGTCTGTTTTGGAATAATATAGATTATATTCAATAAAAAAGGAATCACACACATCATTTGGCCAATATTTATCGAACACTTATGGGATAGATAGCACAGTACCATGTATGAAGCAATCGCCAGAGAGTTATTCTGCTATACGTGAACTTCATTCTAAAATGCACAAATGATTTGCTAACAAATGTTTAGCACATTGGTATTTATATTATTTATAATTTTCCTCTGTTCTGTAAATTACCAGTAACTTTTTAAAGAGATTCTTTAATGAAAATAGTTTTTATTCTTGTTTTTATAGGGTGTTCATAAGAATGGATGCTCTGCTTCCTTGCCACATTCCTTATTGTGGCTGTAGCTCATGAACCTACATAATCTTGGGGAGGAGCCTGTGTTTAATGATGACAAACTTGTTACCAGAATAGCAACAACAGTCTAACAGCAAAAACAAAGAAAAATAAAGAAGCATTTAAATTTATTTTCAACAAAGAAGCCATTGCAATCAACAACTCTGCCGCATTATTTTTCCAAGATGAACCGGTACACGACCATGCGACAGCTGGGGGATGGCACCTATGGGAGTGTGCTGATGGGCAAGAGTAATGAATCTGGGGAGCTGGTGGCCATCAAAAGGTACCGTATAGGACTCTGCAAAGTTTACCTTTGAAGCCCATCTTTCTGTTCCTTTGTGTGCTTGCGAATACATGTCTTATATAAGCGATAATATATTTCAGTACATCTAGTATTTATTGAGTGCTGAACTAAGCAGTTTACAATAAGCTTTTCTTATGCAGTAGTTTCTACTTTATAGCTAAGGAATTTAAGGCACAGAGAGGTTATTAAGTAATCTCTCCAAGGTCATATAATCAGTGAACTGCTGAGTGAGGATTTGAATCCAGGCAGAACAGTTCCACAGCTACATTCTTGACTACCATGATGTATTGCTAATTCTTTATGCTGCCTTTCCTTTATTTCCTTACCCCTGTGTACTAACTCTTGTAGAGGCTCAGAATAAGCCCTATGGGTTAGTTTAATAAATAAGGAAAACTCTAAGCTTCCCAGGAATCTTCTAGGATATCTCAATAGGAAATTATAATACTAAATGAAAATAGGGCATATAAGGTTTTTATTTTTCATTATCCAGCCTTGTAATTTCTACACCTGAAGAAACAATTTTTTGGAACATGAATCCTATTTTTTCTTGTCTCCCATTTTGTATGGTGACTAAAAATCCATTCATAAAAATAATATAATCTCTATCTATGGTATATATGGTGGAATTACTTTATTACCCTAAATTCACTATTTATAGATTTATCTCTAACTAGTAGCTCTGTGCATGAATCCATGCACCAGTAGCTCTCTGCCGCCCTCCTGTAGCTCTCTGCTGCCCTCTTGTAGCTCTCTGCCTGCTGCCCCATCCTCCTGTAGCTTTCCCTGTGCCTCCCCCCCACCCCCAATAGCTTGCTGTCCTGCTCCCTCCTTAGCTTTTTGCTGCCCACTTGTAGTTCCCTGCTCCACCCTCCTGCAGATCTGATCATTAGCAATTGGTTGATTGTTATGCCTCAAGGCATAACAGATAATTAGCATATTCCTCTCTTATTGTATAGGATGGTAACCAACATTAGCATGGAAGAGGGGAAGTAAAAACAAAATTCAAGAAAGCTATTTTTATATTTGGTTACTTCTGAATTATTGTTGATTTAAATAAATCAGTTAACTTTATGGGCCTCTTGTTTAAAGCTGAGGTAATGATATACAAGTTGTCAGACAAAATATTTTACTAAATTTGCTGCCAAAATTTTTCATTTCTTTCCCTACTCTATCTAATTATAGTATTTCATATTTATGTTTTAAGTTCTAGAAGGAGGAGAGGACTTTTGGAAGGAGCCCTTATAGAAAAGCACAATAAAACTGATTAGAGAAATGTAAGAATTCATCCAGAAAGGAAGATTAATTCTTTCACCTTTGTGTTAAAGCAGAATTTCAGATATGACAAAGTCTCGGAACTTGTACCAACTAGCCTTGAAATATATAGAAGGGAGGTGATTTGTTTTTAAGGAGGAGGGAAGAGCGATACCATAGCTTGGCCCAAAGTGAACTAATACCAGTAAGAAAGCCAACGGTGTAATTTCTTAGTTCTTAGTCCCCATACACTAAACTTAACTTTTTTAAATTTCAGGATGAAGAGAAAGTTCTATTCTTGGGATGAATGTATGAACTTGAGAGAAGTTAAGGTAAAATCCTAGAGGTGAAACCAACAGGAGAAGGCCTTAGCTCTACCTCACACCTCCCTCATTTCTGAGGATGGTGGCTAAGGAGACTATTCTTCTCTCTGTAGGAAGCAGTACAACAATAATTATATATTTTTTACTTTTTCCTTTATCTTTCTAAAGTAATTTTTCATTTCTCATCAGAATGTGAGTTAGAACAGAAAATAACTATAACCATATATTTGAAAGTACATTCTCACTTATAAAAGAGCATTTTAACTTATATTATCAAAGGAAAGACAACTTTTTAATTCATTATATACCATTTCCTTATATTTTATGCTGTATGACTTCTATAAATTTTTTGGAGACTTGTGCATGGGATTTTATTTTATTTATTTTATTTATTTATTTTAATATATTTTATTGATTTTTTACAGAGAGGAAGAGAGAGGGATAGAGAGTTAGAAACATCGATGAGAGAGAAACACTGACCAGATGTCTCCTGTACACCCATCACTGGGGATGTGCCCGCAACCAAGGTACATGCCCTTGACCGGAATCGAACCCAGGACTCTTGAATCCTCAGGCTGACTCTCTATCCACTGAGCCAAACCGGCTTCGGCTTGTGCATGGGATTTTAGATAGTAAAATCAGAACAAAGGTAAACTTAGTTAATAGACTAAGAAAAAAGTGACGTATTGTAGATTTGGTTTATTTTCACACTTACATTCATTGCTTAAAACAGTTTACTGCTTACTTTAAATAGGTGTCTAAGATCTTTTAGACATAAATATTGTAGATGTTAAAACTTAATTCATTAATGAATGCGTAAGAAATAGACTATTACTGCTGAAACCGGTTTGGCTCAGTGGTAGAGCGTCAGCCTGCGGACTGAAAGGTCCCAGGTTCGATTCCGGCCAAGGGCATGTACTTTGGTTGCGGGCACATCCCCGGTAGGGGGTGTGCAAGAGGCAGCTGGTTGATGTTTCTCTCTCATCGACGTTTCTAGCTTTCTAGCTCTCTCCCTTCCTCTCTGTAAGAAATCAATAAAATATATCAAAAAGAAAAAGAAATAGACTATTACTTAAGATCATTATCATACTTAGCATTAATGAGATTTTGCCAACTTCTATAACTTTGCTATAAGAATGTTATTGCTTATTTGCTGTGTTGCAGTCTCTGAAGAAACTTAATCATGCCAACGTGATTAAACTAAAAGAAGTTATCAGAGAAAATGACCATCTTTATTTTATATTTGAATATATGAAAGAAAACCTCTATCAATTAATGAAAGACAGGTATGTCTGTATTTTATGGAAATTATATTTTCCCCATTATCTCGATACTCCATAAATTTCAGATCCCTTCAATATGTCACACTTTAAAATGTTCAGATTTATCTCTCCAAATGGTGGATTTAAATTAATTAGTTATCATCATCAAAGGATAATATCTAACATTGAAGAACTAGCTATGACATAACCACCATTTTTCTGTGCTATAATCTTTTAAAAGTCAAAATTAATGTTTCATAAAAACACACATACTATTTTTCTATAAGTGAAACAAAGATCTATTTATAATTTAATGCTCAGTAGTAAGACTGGTCTTGGGAAAAATTGAGAAAATTATCTTTATTGCTCTCCCAAGTATCTTGTGAAAGGTTACTGAAAGAATGGATGGAGGAATTGGTAGCTTTCTAAAAAGAATCTAATAAACTCATTAATTAGAATACTTAAGTTAATGATAAAACTTAGTGTTACCCATCCCAAGGAAATTCTCATTTTAATTTTTAAGCCTATGAACAGAATCTAAAGAGGAATGCTTCAGTCATCTGCCATGAGCTTCAGAGAATAATATTTTATTTTTAAAAATATATTTTTATTGACTTCAGAGAGGGAAGGTGAGGGAGACAGAGAGATGAAACATCAATGAGCAGAGAGAATCATTGATTGACTGCCTTCTTTATGCTACCCCCTTCTCCCCACTGGGGATTGAGCCCACATGTTGAATGCTCGAATAAAGATTCTAAATTAATCCAGTCAATCATGCTGAAATAAAGATGTTAGAAAATGTTGAAATTATAATAAAGTTTAAAAACTTTAAAATGACAAAACATAGTATGGCTTCAGAGTCAAAGAATTAATTCAGCATTAAATAATTAATGTTGATCACATTAATTTGTGGTATACTATTGATTAATATTTGTCAGCCTTACTTAATTAAGTTTTTATTTGGATCTTACTTTGATCCTTGTGTAAATATTATATGAAGCTGCACTGTCCAATGCAGTAGCTACTAGTCACAAAGGGCCATTTTGAAGTGTGGCTAGACTGGATTGAGCTATAAGTGTAAAATAAATTACACATCAGATTTTAAAATTTTAGAACAAAAGATAGAATGTAAATTAATTAGTAAATTATTTATATTGATTGCATATTAAAGTAATATTTTGTATATATTGGGTTAAGTAAAAAATAGTTAAATATATAAGTGGTTTTCATTTGTGGCTCATTATATTTTTACTAGAGGCCCAGAGCACAAAATTTGTGCACTGGGGTGGGGGGTCCCTCAGCCCAGCTTGCACCCTCTTCAATCTGGGACCACTTGGGCGATGTCCCCCTCTCCCAACTGCTTGCCTGCCTGCCAGCTTGATCACTCCCTAACCACTCCCCTGCCAGCCTGATCAACTCCTAACTGCTCTCCTGCCAGCCCAATCTTCCCCACCTACCCTTCCCTGCCAGCCAAGCCACCCCAACTGCCCTCCCCTGCTGGCCTGATTGCCCACAACTACCTTCCCCTGCCAGCCATCTTGTGGCAGCCATCTTTGACCACATGAGAGTGGCCATCTTGTACAAGGGCATGAGGGTCAATTTGCATATTACCTCTTTATTATATAGGATTGGACCATACCAATGCACACTGTACAACTGAAGCAGTTATGTCTTAAAACTCAAAACCTACATACCTGGTACAGATTTGCATACTTTGCTTCTCTGATAGTTATGAGTTTTCCAATTTACTTTTCTCCTATTGAGACAGTTTAGAATTTATCTATAGAATTTAGCTGTTTGAGTTTTTACCACCCAGTGAAACAAAAACAATTCTAATTTTCACTTTTGAAATTTATGATCTTTAGCACTATGAAATTGTACATCATACCTTTATCCAGGGAGGAGGAACCCTCGTAATGCTTTTGGTTGGTTGGTTAGCAGCATTAGATGACTATTTGTTTGTTTCATTTCTTCACAGAAACAAGTTGTTCCCTGAGTCAGTCATCAGAAATATTATGTATCAAATATTACAAGGGTTGGCATTTATCCATAAACATGGTAGGTTTCTTTTAAGTTTCACTTCCTGTTTCTTTGGATTATTGTCAAGATTATACACAGAAATTGTATATAACTGTTAAACACTTATATTTAGATAACTTCAAGTTTGAAGTATGTGTGTGCCTACACATACTGATATTTTGTTTAAGTAATTTAGAATTTTTATTCTATATAAAATAAAATTTCTATAATCTATAATTATCTTCCTTTACAGTAGAATTTTTTAATAGTTTGATCATCATCAGTCTTTAGTCTGTCATCATAAACCCATTCTGCAATCTTATTTCCCCTAATTTTACCATAGAAATAAAAAATTATATATATACATATAAATATATATATACATATATACATATACGTGTGTGTGTGTGTGTATACTAAGTGGCCAGATTATTTTTATGATCTCTGAATGCATAGTAATCTGGCCACTCAGTATATATATATATTTATATATATATACACTCAGTATATATTGAGGCCCAGTGCATGAATTTGTGTATGGGTTCGGCCAGCCTGGCCAGGGGGATGGGACATGGACAGCTGGCCGGCCTGCCTGCTGTTGAACTCCTGGTTGAGGAGACAATTTATTAGCCTTTTATTATATAGGATACATATAATGGCCCCATTTTTGGAAAAGATGGGAATGCTTACATCTACCAAGACCAATTATTGATATTTAAGTAGTTTAAATAACCCGTGCTATGATAATTTATAGTTTCCCTTGGTATTTACATTTAGTTATCTCTATTCCTTGAGTGAAATTAAAGCAAGTGATCTTATTTTTATGAATTTCTTATTTATGTAATCTTAATTTATATAATTTTTTGCATATCTATCAAACCAGAACAATTACTCCAAAATGTTAGTATGGTATTATTGTTAAAAATCAGCAAACATTTGTTTAGAATCATTAGATATGTGGATATTAAATTAGAAAGGTTTTTGCTATACCATTGCTGCATTCTGAACATAAGCACTCGAAAAACACCATCATTAGATTCCTTTCAAGTTTCATTCCATATTTTATATTTTCTTTTTACTTTAACTGCTACAGGAAATAATTTATTTTCTAAAAATGTGATGTGGAATTCCATAGAAGCATTGTAAGAACATTACTGAATTCCCAGTTGTTTGTCTTCCATAAACTGTTAAGAATTTTAAAAGTCTAAAACCCATGTTAACATACTACAACCCATTGGTAAAAGTCAGTCATTTGTTAATTACATGGAAATAAACAGTGTATATGCTATTTTAATTTTTCATGATAGATTCCTAGATCTTCAACGAAAAATATATAACTGGGTGAATATAACATGCCACTGAAACTGCTCAGCATGTTAACTCTTGCTATTGGCCTGAGTTACTTTATGCTACTGAAGTCAGTGATATGGAAAATCAAAAGCCTCATGGATTGTTTGAGTTTTGGAAAGAGTTTTATGTTTTATTGTAATAAAATACAGGCTAGTAATAAAATTATTTTAGTTTCTTTGGATATATATTAACTATCAGGCTAGTAATATAATTGTTTTAGTTTCCTTGGAGATATATATATTAATATATATATATATATATATATATATATATATATATATATATATACACACACACACACTCTCTCTCTCTCTCTCTCTCTCACTCTTATCGGCAACTTCAGAGGACAAGGGATTGAAGAAAGTTAGCTTGGGATTTTAAAATTTCTGCTGAAAGTAAAAACATGAATAATCTGGAATTAACTATATAATTGAAGACACAGTGATTTGGGAAATTGGACTCTAAAAATAATAGAGCTCTTGTCCTGCCATTGTTGCTCAGTGGTTGAGTGTTGCCTTATGAACCAGGAGGTCACAGTTCAATTCCTGGTGAGGGCACATGCCCTGGCTGTGGGCTTGATCACCAGTGGGGGACATGCAAGAGGTAGCTAATCAATCATTCTTTCTCATTCTTGATGTTTTTCTCTCTCTCTCCTTCTTCCTTCCTCTCTGAAATCAATAAAAATATTTTTAAAAAATAATAATAATAGGCCGAAACCTGTTTGGCTCAGTGATAGCGCGTCGGCCTGCAGACTGAAAGGTCCCGGGTTCGATTCCGGTTAGGGGCATGTACCTTGGTTGCAGGCACATCCCCAGTAGAGGGTGTGCAAGAGGCAGCTGATCGATGATTCTCTCTCATCGATGTTTCTAACTCTCTATCCCTCTCTCTTCCTCTCTGTAAAAAATTAATAAAATATTCTAAAAAAAAAAAAAAAGAATAATAGAACTTTTTATTTAATGCTTATTTCACTTTAGTTAATAAGCATTCCAGATGCAATAGTTTGAGAAAATACTTTTTAAATAGGACCAAGTTTTTTATATATTTATATTAATGAGGATGGGGAAAATGTGAACTGTACAAATATATAATTGGTTCTGTTCTATGATTTTATGGATTAATGTCACTATACCATCACATGTGTTCCCATCCCTGTCTTCCTATTATAAAAATGCAATATATTTCTCTTGGAAGTTAGGGAAATGGATTGTAACAACTATTTTGAGTAAGAAGTACAGAACTGTTGGGATTTTACAAATTAGAGCCCACACTGGCTTTGATGGAATTAAGAGATTTTAGGCTCAAACAGTCTCCCTAGCCCAAAGCTCTGTGAAAACCCTCTCATGATGATCACTACAGCTGATGGCCATGTTTCAAGGACATTAGAACACATCTGTGTATAAGCATTGTGCTTTAGATCTCACATAGAAATTTGCAAAGAGGGCTCTCATTTTTTTCTTCTTCCTGGGCTTTCTGCCTCGTTTTTATTGGGCTACCTTCTATCTTCCAAAGCTAACCATTTATTTTATATACTAGAGGCCCCGTGCACAAAAATTATGCACTCAGGGTAGGGAAGTGTCCCTTAGCCTGGCCTGTGCCCTCTTGCAGTCAAGGAGCCCTCAGGGGATGTCCGACTGCCAAGGAGGCAGGGGAGGCTCCTGCAACTGCTGCTGAGCTTGCCAACCAGCTGTAAGCCCAACATCTGGCTGAGTGGTGCTCCACCTGTGGGAATGCACTGATCACCAGGGGGCAGCTCCTGCCTTGAGCATCTGCCCCCTGGTGGTCAATGCATGTCATAGCGACCAGTTGTTCCACTGGTTGATTTGTATATTAGCCTTTTATTATATAGGACTGGTGGCCTGGTGCACAAAATTTATGCACAGAGGGTGCCCCTCAGACCGGCCGGCACCCTCTCCAATCTAGGACCCGTCAGAAAATGTCCAATGCCGATTTAGGCCCAATCCCACAGGGCCTAAACTGGCAGCTGGACATCCCTCTCACAATCCGGGACTGCTGGCTCCTAACTGCTCACCTGCCTGCTTGCCTGATCACCCCTAACCACTCTGCCTGCCCGCCTTCTCTTCCCCAACTGTCCCCCCCACCATCCTGATCACTCCCCCACCTCTCCCTCCTGCCAGCTTGCTTGCCCCCAACTGCCCCCCACCAGTCTGATTGCCCCCCAATGCTCCCCACTGCTGACTTACTCACCCCCAACTTCTTCTCCCTGCCCTCCTGATTGCCCCCAACTGCCCTCCCCTCCTAGCCTGGTCACCCCTAACCATATCTGCCTCAGCCCCACCACCATGGCTTTGTCCAGAAGGTCTCCTGGAAGGTTTCCTTGTCTAATTAGCATATTACCCTTTTATTAGTATAGACTAGTGTCCCAGTGCACAAATTTGTGCATGGGAGGGTTCCCTCAGTCCGGCCTGCACCCTCTCCAATCTGGGATCTATTGGGGGATATCCAACTGCTGTGACCCCTATGGGATTGGGCCTAAACCAGCAGTCTCACATTTCTCTCGCAATCCAGGACTGGTGGCTCCTAAACACTCACCTGCCTGCCAGCCTGATCACCCCCAACTGCACCCCCCCTGCTGGCCTGCTTGCCACCTATTGCCCCCTCCTGCTGGCATGCTCGCCTCCTACTGCCTGACCCCGGCCTGCTCAGTTCCAACTGCCCCTCCCACTGGCCTGATCACACCCAACTGCTCATCATTGGGGACCTTCTATCCCCCACCTGCCCCCCTGCCCTCCTGGTCATCCCCAACTGCCCCCCCTGCTGGCCTGGTCTGCTCACACCCAACTTCCACCCCTCCCCCCCCCCCCTGCCAGCCTGCTTGCCCCCAATTGCTACCCTCTTCCCTCCAACCTCCCCCCACTGGCCTGATCACCCCCAGCTGTCCTCTCCTCTGACCTGATCACCCCTAACCACCTCTGCCTCGGCCCTGCCACTATGGCTTTGTCTGCTGGTGGCCACAGAGCCAGCTTGGGCAACCAAGGCAGTCAAGCCTCCCACCAGCTCCAGCTGGCACCACCATCTTTGTCATGTCAATTTGCATATTCCCTCCTTATTGGCATCTTTATAATAAAGTGACAGTTAATTTGAATATTACTCTTTTATTAGATAAGATTGGTAAATAAGCATTTTGATTATCATGTTTTTCAATAAAGCAGCTCCCATGGAAGAATTGAGCTATTAAAATATTTTTAAATTAAGAAATTGGTTAAAATGTATGTTCTATTTTTGTTTAGTAGACTTTTCCAGTCAGTGATTATATTCAAGGATTCTCAAGTTAAATGCGATAAGCCAGTAGTAAGAGCAGCTGCATCAACTGAAGCCTGATTACACAGCCCTCCTCAAGCTTTGATTGGGCTACTTCTCTCTGGGCCTCAATCTCCTCATTTGTTACAAACAGTGATCATAAAACACCTTAGGTTTGTTTTGCAAGTTAATGGAGATTATCATAATGTGGCAGTATCTAGCCAGTGCCTGAATTTACTGGATTCACAAATAGAAATACATTCTATTTTTAATGACTAAATTATTTTGAAAGCGGAGTCTCTACCTCCCATCATTTTTTAGACAATAAACATGGTTGTTCTTTACCTACCCCTATGCTCCCTGCCCAATTCACATTCCTAGTTATAATAGAGAGGCTCAGTTCTATTTGTTTATAAGTCAAATATGATAACTTATTATTGTTATTATCAGGTTTTTTTCATAGGGATATGAAGCCAGAAAACTTACTTTGTATGGGTCCAGAACTTGTGAAAATTGCTGATTTTGGACTTGCAAGAGAATTAAGATCCCAGCCACCATACACTGATTATGTATCTACCCGATGGTGAGTAGTTTCACACAACTCTCCAGAGGCAAATGTCTATGTTGAAGTTTTCCTCCAATGTATTGTGATATCACTTGGATGTTTCATATCCGTATTTAGAACAAAATATAGAAGTGACTTTGTATTCTTTGGAGAAAAGGGATTGGTTCATTTAGTATGAAAGATCTATACTAAATTATGAAATAAGAGAAGGAAAAAGGATTTTATTCATTCAGCAAATATTTATTGAACACCTACTATGTGTCAGATACTATCTTAGGCACTAGGAACACAGAAGTGAACTAAACAGAAAAAAAAAAAATACTGCCTCATACACAAATAAGTTACAAATATCATGAATTACCAACAGAAAGACATAGCATGTGTTCATCAAAACACATGAAATAGTCCCAAACTTCAAACTACTCATATCACCAGTGGCATGATATATTCACCTAGTGAAATGCTTTACAGCCATGAAAATGAAAGATCTATAACTACATGCAACAATATGATGAATCTTCCAGATATAATATTGAGAGCAAGAGACCATATTGTATGACCCATCCTATCTAATAAACAGGGAATATTCAAATTGACCATCACTCCATGACAAATATGGTGGGGCCCACAGCCAGTAAGGAGAGAATATGTAAATTGAGGGTAACTGCGACAAAGATGGCAGTGGCCGGGCTGGACGCTTGCATCATTGCCACGGTGACAAAGCAGGCGTTCCGCCACACCCCGCCCACAGAGGGCCTGTGGGCAGCATACAGGTACAGAGAGGTGGAGCGGCCAGGGTGGGGTGTGACTCGCAGAGAGCCTGGGCCAGGGAGAGCCTCTGGGAAGGGGAGGCAGGCTGGCAGAGGGTGGCCTGTACTCCCCACATGGCGGCCGCAGCCATGAGCACACCAAGCAGAGCCTGCTGGCTGAGCTGAAGTAGTGTCTGCAGGCCATCATCGCCAAGGAGTGGCTGTGCAACTCCCGCCTTCTTGCCCAGAAGGTGCGTGATTGCAGGGACAGCCACCGTGGCAGGCCAGATTGACGTCCTGGCCATGCCGTGAGGGTTGGAGGATCTGCACAGCCACAGGCCTCTGGTGCATCCTCTCATCCCCCCTGGCATGTGAATGTCCCCCAGTGCTCTGTCACCTACACAAGCTTGCAACAGTCCCAGACCATGGCATGTGCAAGTTCTTCCTCCCTCTACCCCCCCGCCAGCCCCTCTGCCACACTTCCTTTAACCCCAGCATGCTTATATCCCCACGGGACATACGCATGTCCCCTCCAGCACACCCACATCCTTTGGAGAGTGTCTGGGTGTCCTGGGTGCTGAGGGTGGGCGCCTGTGAGGTGACAGTGACAGGACGAAGTGGTGGTGCCCTGTTCCCACGGAGGACAGTGCGGCGACGAGATCACCTTTGTGGGCTAATGCAGGTGCTGAGGCGGGAGCAGGTGCTGACAGACACACCTGGTGGGTGCGGGCGGTGACCCTCGCTGAGGTGCCTTAGGTCAGTCAGCGTTCAAGATTGGGAACCCAGAGGAGGAGAGGAGTTCCATTCTCTCAGTGAAACGGTGGGATAGTCGGGGCAACTGCAGAGGAGGAATGTGCACTTTGGGTGCCAGCACCATGAGCGAAGGCTGTCCTGGTTGAGCCTTGCTCACTCAGGGGCTAGCACGCTCCTGCTGGGCAGCGAGTGACAGGATGTGCTTCTCCGAGTTAATGAGAGAAAACATTGATTTTCCTGCTGCCCGTGAAGGTGGAAAGCGGAGTGGGGAGACATGTAGGGAGTGAGCAAGGTTCTCTGTTTGGGGATTCCAAATCTGCCGTTTGTTCCTTTCACCGCTGACTAGAGATATATAGGGTGTTCCCCAAAAAGTGTATACACACTTTGAATACCTACTAATTCCAATGGGTTTAAGCATGAAAAGAAAGAAACAACAATGGAGCTGTCATCTGTTAAAAGTGCGGGCACAAACCAGCAGTCAGACATTCCCCGAGGGGTCCCAGATTAGAGAGGGTGCAGGCCAGACTGAGCTCCTCTCCCCCCTCCCTGCACAAGTTTTTGCACGAGGCCTCTAGTTTATACTCCGTCTCCCTTCTACTCTTGCTAAAAACCAATGGAAAAATACCCTCAGCTGAGGATATAATAATAATAATAATAATAATAATGAAAATAGATTATAGACGAGCAAGGACAGAAGCAGGGAAACTGTTCTAATAATTTGAGAAAGAAATGCTAGTGACAGATCTGGTGGCTGTGGAGGTAATGAGAGGTGTAGGATGCTGGGTATGTTTTTAAAGTAGAGCAAACATGAGTTCCTGTTAAATCAAATGTGGGGCTATAAATATAAGGGATTCAAGACTCCAAGTTTTCCCCCTGAATACTGGAATGATGGAATTAGGACTAATTGAGATAGGGAATGCTAGGTAATGGTGAGGGAGGTGGAGAAAGCACAGTTCAATTTTGGGTGAGTGAATGTATATGAGACAAATGGGGAGATGTCAAAGTAGATAGCTGGATCTATGATCTGTAGTTTAGGAGAGAGAGCTGGGATGAAGATGTAAAATTAGAAGACCTCAATGTTAAAAAGCACAAGACTGAATGAAGTCACTAAGGGGGAAAATGTAGTTAGAGAAAAGAAGAGGTCAGAAGACTGTGCTAGATAGAGTAACCATTTGTTCCTGTTGGCCCAGGGCAGTCTCAGCCAATGCCTGTTTTCCTTTTCTCTTTATTAATACTAGAGGCCTGGTGCACAAAATTTGTACACTCGGGGGGTTGTGGAGGAGGTCCCTCAGCCTGGCCTGTACCCTCTTGCAGTCTGGGTGATGTCTGACTGATGGCTTAGGCCTGCTCCCTGCCATCAGTTGGATATCCTTAGTGCTACTGCAGAGGAGGGAGGGGCTCCCACCACCGCCACTGCACCTGGCTTCTGGCTGAGCAGCGCCACTCCTGTGGGAGTGCACTGACCACCCAGAGGCAGCTCCTGCATTGAGCATCTGCCTCCTGATGGTCAGTGCATGTCATAGCGACCAATTGTTCAGCCGTTTGGTCAATTTGCCTATTATCCCTTTACCAAATAGGACATTGGGGTAACATTGGTTAATAAGATTATGTAGGTTTCTGTGATACATTATCTTCATATTGCATTGTATGCCCATCACCCATAGTTAAATCTTCCATTACCTCATATTTGTCCCTCTTTACCCTTTACTACTTCCCCACCCCCTTCCCTAACCACCATATTATTGTCTGTGTCTATGAGTTTTTGTTTGTTTTTCTTATTTCTTCATTTGTTGTTTTGTTTTCTATTCCTAATGTGAGTGATAATATGGTTCTTAACTTTTTCTCTCACTTATTTTGCTTAGCATGATACTCTCAAGATTCATCCATGTTATCACAAATGGCAGTGTTTCATCTTTTTTAGGGATAAGTATTCCATTGTATATATCATGTCTTCTTTACTCAATCATTTAGCAAAGTTGTTTCCATGTTTTGGCTATTGTGAATAATGTTGCAATGAACATAGGGGTACATATGTCTTTGTGAATAAATGTTTTCAAAATTTTCAGGTAGATACAGAAAAGAAGGGTTGCTGGGTCATATGTTAACTCTATTCTTAACTCTATTTTGAGGAACTTTCATACTGTTTTTCATAGTGACTGTACAAGTTTACAGCTCCACCAGCAGTGAATGAGGGTTTCCTTTTTCCCATAACCTCTTCACACTTGTTATTACCTGTTTTGTTGATAACCATTCTAAAAAGTGCAAGGCTGTATCTCATTGTATTATATTAGTTTTGATTTGCATTTCCCTAATTGCTAGTGAAGTTGAGCAGTTTTTCATATATCTGTTTCATCATTTGTATGTTTTCTTGGCAGAAGTGTCTACTCAGGTCCTATGCCCATTTTTATTTTATTATTTAAGTATATTTGTATTGATTTCAGAGAGGGAGATGGAGATAGAAACATCAATGATGAGAGAGAATCACTGATCAGCTGCCTCCTGCATGCCCCCACTGGGGATCAAGCCTGCAGTTCAGTCATGTGCCCTGACTGGAAATTGAACTGTGGCCTCCTGGTTCATAGGTTGATGCTCAACTATTGAGCCATACCAGTTGGGCTGCCCATTTTTAAATTGGATTGTTTAGTATTGAGTTGTATGAGTTCTCCATATATTTTGGATATTATCCCCTTGTCGGAGCTATTGTTTGCAGATGTCTTCTCCCATTTGGTTGGTTGCCTTTTTATTTTTGTTGTCAGTTTCTTTTGTGGTACAGAAGCTTTTTATTTTAATATAGTCTCATTCATTTATTTTTGCTTTTACTTTCTTTGCCTTTGGGGTCAAATTCTTTATATAGAAGAAAAAATTATTAGAAACAATAAATAAATACAGTAAAGTTTCAGGTATACAAAATCAATGTACAAAAATCCACTACATTCCTATATACTAAAAATGAAATTTCAGGGTAAAATTTTTTTTAAATTTCTTTTGCAATTGCAACAAAAAGAATAAAATACCTAGGAATAAACATAAGGGATGTGAAGGGCTTATATACTGGAAACTACAAAGCATTTTGAAATAAAATTTTAAAAGACAATGAAATGCGAAGATATTTTGTGTTCATGTATTGCAAGAATCAACATAAAATGTTCATATTACCCAAAGCAATATGCATATTTAATGCAATCCCCATCACAATCCCAATGACATTTTTTCAAAGAAATAGAATAAAAAATTAACAGATTTGTATAGAACCAACAAAGACCCTGAATAGCCAAAGTAATCCTGAGGAAAAAAAGAACATAGCTGGAGTTATCACACTTCCTGACTTTAAATTATACTACAGAGCAATGATAATTAAAACAGCAACAATAATCAAAACAGCTGATGAATGTATAAACAAAACGGGATATGTCCATACAATGGACTATTATTAGGCATTTATTTATATGTTTACTTAGTAGAATACAGTCTTAATTAACTTTTTAATTTGTTAGGGTGACTGGTTTCAGGTACACAGTTCTACAACACATCATCTGTACACTGTATTGTGTAGTCACCAATCCAGATTATTATTCAGTCCTAGGGCCCAGTGCATGAATTCATGCACTGGTGAGGTCCAGCCAGCCCGCCTCCATGGGGGCCGATCAGGGCCTGGCTGGCCTTGCTCCCAATTGGGGTTGGAGATTGATCGGGACCCTGATTGGGCCGGTTGGCTACTGCAGTGCACATCATAGTGACAGGTTGGGTCATACTGGTCGTTCCAGCATTTTGGTCTCTTGATTTTTATATATATAAGTTTAAAAGGAAAAAGAACTGATGCATGCTACCATATGGATGAACCCTGAAAACATGTTCACTGAAAGAAGCCAGTCACAAAGGGCTAGCGAGTGTATAGTTCTATTGCTATGAAATGTCCACAACAGGTAAATCTATAGAGACAGAAAATAAATTAGTGCTGGCAGCATAGGGAATATTGGAGAGGTATGGGTTTCTTTTTAGGATAATGAAAATAATTGATTGTTCCTGATGATACACAAATCTGTACATATACTTAAATCCATTGAATCACATTCTTTTAAACAGATGGGTTGTATATTATATGACTTGTAACTCAGTAAAGCTGTCAAAGATACTCTGAATGGAAGCAAAAGGCAATACTACAAAACTTTTGGGCTGAAATATTCACACATTTCAATGCTGAAAAAGAGTTAGAATTTATTCTTATAGATAAAGTATTTTTATTTATTAAAAATATTGTCAATTGAGGAAATTGAGTCGGCTGAGGGAATCAGGACTTCCAAACTGATAAGCAAAAATAAATAAATAAATAAATAAATAAATAAAGTCACTATTCAAGAATAATCTTTGTTAATATTTTGGTTTTTTATTTTTCATAGGGTTATATCACAGATATAATACTTTGTAAAAATAATGCATTTGTAGCCATTCAGAATATATCTGCTTCCATTCAGAGCTCCCACTTCTTTTTCTTAATATATTACATACTGCATTTCCATATTTTTTAATTTGAGTTTCTATCATAGACTATTTGGATAATTCATTTATATTAGTCTCCAGCCCTACTGATTTTTGTGGTCTGGGAAAACAAGTGATGTCCAATTTAACCCCAGCACATTGTGCAAGTGCCTGATGCGCAGAAGGCACTTAATACTTGTTCTGTGACTGAAAAGCTTGACCAAACAGAGTAGAACTCTACTGCCACTCCAGTTTTGAAACCACAATCAAAATAGTCTGTTTCATTTTGTTTTCTATTTTCACAGGTACCGTGCTCCTGAAGTTTTATTAAGATCTTCAGTTTATAGCTCTCCCATTGATGTGTGGGCTGTTGGGAGTATAATGGCTGAACTATATACATTAAGACCACTTTTCCCAGGGACAAGTGAGGTTGATGAAATATTTAAAATTTGCCAAGTTTTAGGGACTCCAAAAAAAGTAAGTACTCTTGTCCTTAATTGTTATAACCTTTGATTATTTATAACTTTTACCTAGCTACCTGATATTTTCATTTTCAGGTAGACTTGTAATTCTTAATTTTTCTTAAATTGGGATGGCATGAGGACAATAAAAAGCAAGAATCTCACCAGACTGAAGAAAAAAGGTGCTTGCATTTGTTTAAGAACCAAAGGGAAAATGCTCTATATTTAGAATTCTGTATATTTAACTTTGGGTTGATGATCAACTGATAATTACATTGACATTCTTGCTTATTAACTTTCTTACTTGCTTTGTAAATGTCCATTACCCCAGGTGTCCTGGATCTTATTTTCTTTTAACATTTTCTTGTTTCCTTTTATATATCTTTGCCATGGACATTTGATCTCTTGAACTCAATACTTTTTTTTTTAATTTATTTTTATTGATTTTTTTTCTAGAGAAAGGAAGGGAATGGGATAGAGAGAGAAACATTATGAGAAACATCATCCACTGGCTGCCTCCTGCATGCCCTTTACTGGGGATGTAGCCTGCAACTTGGGCATGTGCCCTGACTGAGAATCGAACCAGTGATTCCTTGGTTCCTGGGTCGATGCTCAACTGCTGAGCCACCCTGGCTGGGCTGAACTGAATATTCTTCAATTAATTATTTCCTTAAGCTAGATCTTACTTTCTGGGATATACTTAGTAAGTTTAAGTATACATAATTATAGCCTAATTCAATTAGTGTGTGCCTTATGGCTAATAGTAGCTATTAAAACTTTAAAAGATAATTGCTATTTCCCAGCTATGTGCAATTTTTAACATTGGATGCAATGTGTAACATATAATGAGGATCTTTGTCATAATCAGACACTTTGTAAAGCAGGTGTCCTTATTTGTTTAAAGTCCTAGGGTATCATCATCATCATCATCATCATCATCATCCAAATACTTAGATAAGAGTTTAATATTTTGAAATTTATAAAAGTTCTTCTCATTTTCCCCTAACTCTCAGTTCAATGTTTTTAATATATTGTTTGTAGCACTGAATTGTATATATGGCCTCGTATTTCATTCTCACACTTATTTATATGAATCAACATTGAAATTTTCACATGTGATTTGTGTATTATTACTATGTTTTTAAAGTGATTGCTAATTTTTTTTTTTGCTCTCCCTGCAACTTACTCCCTGCAATTTCTTAAACAGAGTGACTGGCCAGAAGGGTATCAGCTCGCATCCTCGATGAATTTCCGTTTTCCCCAGTGTGTTCCTATAAACTTAAAAACTCTTATTCCCAATGCCAGTAATGAAGCTATTCAGCTTATGACTGAAATGTTGAATTGGGATCCAAAAAAACGACCAACAGCAAGCCAGGTAAAATGAATCTCCCTGGTATATTTTTGTTAAATGTTGAAGATTTACAATATCAGGTATATATTCTTTTGCAAAGATAAGTCTATTCTCAACCAGGGGTTACCAAAAGAATTAAGCCTTAACACCTTAAGGCACCCAGTATATATATTGATTTAATCTCTAGGCATCTAAAATCCTTGGGAAAATTGCAAAAATAACTAGTGATTTTATGTGTTTTGTGGTTCAAAAGAACAACACTATGAAGTTATGGCTGAAAGGAATAAATCTCTAAAGATAAAAAATTCAGATATGTGACAGGCTGGTTTGGAAGAAACTAGTCATGGTAGTAAAAATGCATCTCTCTAGTCATGGGATGTAATTAACTTTCCAATGCTTACCTTTGAGGTGGATTCTTGTTCACTCTCCCACAAGAGAGCAGCACATGGCACTCATGCTCGGCTCCTTTGTAACTACATCTTATACAGTAGGTCCTCAGGATTACTTCGGAGATCCATTCCTTTGGTGCTATGTAAGGCGATTTTCGCCATAAGTGGGATCCCACCTACATAAGCACCTGCATCACTCACATGGAGCACATACATAGCAGTAATGAAGTGAAACAGTAAAAAAAATTTTAAAGAAAGATAACAATTCCTGACCTTTACTTGTGGTAAATAAATAATAAAAAACATAAAGCACATATGTACATAAGTTGAAATGACGGAACATTTTTTTCCCCAAAATGACACATGTCGAGTCCAACATAACCCGACAATGGCATGTATTGTATTATATGTCAAATTTCATGTTTTTTAAAACACCGTGGTTTTAAGTTAAAAACATGGGCTTTAATTTATACTTTAGATTTATAAATAATTGGAAGCTGGTGGTAGGAGTGGACAGCTTACCCTATCAAATATAAAATAATCTAAAGTGATGATAATGATAACAGTGAGGGTACTAGCATGAAAATTGACAATAGCTCAGAGACACAAAGACTGTAAGTCAGTGTAAGGTAAACATGGCATCAGAAACTGGAGGGGGGAAGGAAGACGGGGGACTGTTCAGGGAATGTTACTGATACAACAAACAGTTAACTCTTAGGGGAACAGTAAATTTAGGCTTTACTTTTTACCATACTTTACAAGTAAATCACAGGTTTACATAATAGAGGGGGTAACTAAACTATTAAGAACTAAAGGAAGTATGGGTGAATATTTGATTTCAAGATAAGAAAAATATAGGTATAAAAGTAATAAAAGAAAATAAAGGGAAATCTCAGAATTTTCTCTTATATAACTTAAAATTGAAAGGCAAACTATTATTTTTAACAAACATAATAGTGTACTTATGTTTCTAAACATTTATTATTTTTATAATAAAAGTCCTTAAAATTTACTTATTAAAAAAAATTAGGACCCAGCTGAGTGGGGCTCAGCAGTTGAGCATCACCTGACCCAGGAACCAAGAGGTCACCAGTTCGATTTCTGGTCAAGGCACATGTCCAGGTTGTGGGCTCTATCCCCAGTAGGAGACATGCAGAAGGCAACCCAATGATGATTCTCATTATCGATGTTTCTCCCTCTCCTTTCCTCTCTGAAATCAATGAAAGTATGTTTAAGAAAAAAAAAAAAAAAAAGTAGGCATGAGACATGAAAAAAAATCACAGAAAAAGAAATTTAAATTCCAAAAATATTTTTTAATGTGCAACCCTTGTTCACTATCATAAAATGCAAATGAAAATTAAGTACTATTTTTTACCTATCAAATTAACAAAAAATAAAAATAATTTAAAGGCTATTTCTTTAAGTACTAATGGAAAGCAATTTTGCAGTGTATATAAAGAACCTTAAAAAACAACCAGAAAGTTTGGTAAAGTCTATGCCCATAGATATTCAAAGCTAATTTAAAACTATCCATTGGAAGTATAAATCTAAATGTTTCTAGGGGAACATTCAAAGTATATACATTCTTATGAATTATGATGCCACCATTAAAAATGAAATTTTTAAAAGAAAGTAACCATTTCAGAGAATTCTCAAGTGCTAAGTCTAAAAGTAAGCTACATTGTATGTATAATATGATTTATTTTTAAAATGTATATGTTATATAATTTTAAAAAATACTGCTCAGAAAAACATCCAAATGTGAGCAGTAGTTTTCTCTTGGTATTGGCATGAGAGATGGTTTAATTTTTTCATGACAAATTTCTGTACATTTCTTTTTTTTTTTTTTTTTTTTTTTTTTTTAAGCAATCTTTATTGTTCATATTATTACAAAGGTTCCTCATTTCTTCCCCCCTCCACCAGGTTCCCACCCCACCCTCCGTCCCCCCCCATCCCCCATTGTCCTCATCCATAGGTGCAGTTTATGTTCAGTCTCTTCTTCCCTCAATTTCCCCAATAGTAAATCCCTTTTCAGATAGTAAATCAGTTACTTAGCATTTTCTCATATCAATAATACCTCCACATGCCCAATGATACACTTCACACAAAAGACATTTCCCACTAGGTCAACCAGCCTCATCCAGGCCCCACCCAAGGCACTCACAGATCAACACCCCAGTCCTAAACTAACTCAACACATCCAGATATAAGCCTTCATCACTTGATTCAGCAGACACTCAAGTTCCCACGAAAGTTTCCAGCCATGTCTGAGAAGCAGCCGTGGGGCAGGGGCAGGCAAGGAGCGAGCTGTTCTGGGCCTGGCTGCTCAGGGCCTGGCCTCTGTTGCTCTGGTTCATTCCACAACCAGCTGCTCCGGGTCTGGTCACTGCCGCTCCCAACCTAGTTGCTCTGTACTTGGCTGCTGCTGCTACGGGCCTGGCCGCTCCCAGCCTGGCAGCCGCTGCTCCGGGCCTGGCCGCACCCGACCCGGCTGCTCCCCCGGGCCTGGCCGCTCCCAGCCTGGCAGCCGCTGCTCCGGGCCTGGCCGCACCCGACCCGCCTGCTCCCCCGGGCCTGGCCGCTCCCAGCCTGGCAGCCGCTGCTCCGGGCCTGGCCGCACCAGCCCCGCCTGCTCCCCCGGGCCTGGCCGCTCCCAGCCTGGCAGCCGCTGCTCCGGGCCTGGCCGCACCCGACCCGGCTGCTCCCCCGGGCCTGGCCGCTCCCAGCCTGGCAGCCGCTGCTCCGGGCCTGGCCGCACCCGACCCGGCTGCTCCCCCGGGCCTGGCCGCTCCCAGCCTGGCAGCCGCTGCTCCGGGCCTGGCCGCACCAGCCCCGCCTGCTCCCCCGGGCCTGGCCGCTCCCAGCCTGGCAGCCGCTGCTCCGGGCCTGGCCGCACCAGCCCCGCCTGCTCCCCCGGGCCTGGCCGCTCCCAGCCTGGCAGCCGCTGCTCCGGGCCTGGCCGCACCCGACCCGGCTGCTCCCCCGGGCCTGGCCGCTCCCAGCCTGGCAGCCGCTGCTCCGGGCCTGGCCGCACCCGCCCCGCCTGCTCCCCCGGGCCTGGCCGCTCCCAGCCTGGCAGCCGCTGCTCCGGGCCTGGCCGCACCCGACCCGGCTGCTCCCCCGGGCCTGGCCGCTCCCAGCCTGGCAGCCGCTGCTCCGGGCCTGGCCGCACCCGACCCGGCTGCTCCCCCGGGCCTGGCCGCTCCCAGCCTGGCAGCCGCTGCTCCGGGCCTGGCCGCACCAGCCCCGCCTGCTCCCCCGGGCCTGGCCGCTCCCAGCCTGGCAGCCGCTGCTCCGGGCCTGGCCGCACCCGACCCGCCTGCTCCCCCGGGCCTGGCCGCTCCCAGCCTGGCAGCCGCTGCTCCGGGCCTGGCCGCACCCGACCCGGCTGCTCCCCCGGGCCTGGCCGCTCCCAGCCTGGCAGCCGCTGCTCCGGGCCTGGCCGCACCAGCCCCGCCTGCTCCCCCGGGCCTGGCCGCTCCCAGCCTGGCAGCCGCTGCTCCGGGCCTGGCCGCACCAGCCCCGCCTGCTCCCCCGGGCCTGGCCGCTCCCAGCCTGGCAGCCGCTGCTCCGGGCCTGGCCGCACCCGACCCGGCTGCTCCCCCGGGCCTGGCCGCTCCCAGCCTGGCAGCCGCTGCTCCGGGCCTGGCCGCACCAGCCCCGCCTGCTCCCGCGGGCCTGGCCGCTCCCAGCCTGGCAGCCGCTGCTCCGGGCCTGGCCGCACCCGACCCGGCTGCTCCCCCGGGCCTGGCCGCTCCCAGCCTGGCAGCCGCTGCTCCGGGCCTGGCCGCACCAGCCCCGCCTGCTCCCGCGGGCCTGGCCGCTCCCAGCCTGGCAGCCGCTGCTCCGGGCCTGGCCGCACCAGCCCCGGCTGCTCCCCCGGGCCTGGCCGCTCCCAGCCTGGCAGCCGCTGCTCCGGGCCTGGCCGCACCAGCCCCGCCTGCTCCCCCGGGCCTGGCCGCTCCCAGCCTGGCAGCCGCTGCTCCGGGCCTGGCCGCACCCGACCCGCCTGCTCCCCCGGGCCTGGCCGCTCCCAGCCTGGCAGCCGCTGCTCCGGGCCTGGCCGCACCCGCCCCGCCTGCTCCCCCGGGCCTGGCCGCTCCCAGCCTGGCAGCCGCTGCTCCGGGCCTGGCCGCACCCGACCCGCCTGCTCCCCCGGGCCTGGCCGCTCCCAGCCTGGCAGCCGCTGCTCCGGGCCTGGCCGCACCAGCCCCGCCTGCTCCCCCGGGCCTGGCCGCTCCCAGCCTGGCAGCTGCTGCTCCGGGCCTGGCCGCACCTGACCCAGCTGCTCTGGGCCCGGCTGCCCCGGGCCCGGCCGCTCCGAGCCTGGCCACTCCCGACCTGGATGCTCTGGGCTTGGTTACTGCTGTTCTGGGTCTGGCTGCTCCCACCCCGGCTGCTCTGGGCCCGGCTTCTCGGGCCCGGCCACTCCGGGTCTGGGTGTTCCTGGACTGGCCACCCTGGGCTTGGCCGCCTCCGCCTCATGCCTGGCTGCCACTGCCCCAGGTCTGGCTACTCCAGTGCTGGCTGTTGATGCTCTGGTTCTGGCTGCTGTTGTTCTGGAGCCTGGCCGTTGCTGCTCCGGGTCTGGCTGCCACTGTCTTGTGCCTGGCCACTCTAGGCCTGGCCGTTGCT